ACCAATATTGCTAGACCATCAATTCAAAGGTATTAGAGTTTAAAAGACACATTTCCTTAAGCAGAATTTGAACAACTGCCAAAACCAACAAACTCCTCACTGTGAACTGAAGCCTGCACAGCTGGATAACCACTGTCATCCTGGTTTCAGGCAGTGGCAAAGGACCACGTGTGTTTTCTCACACTCACAGGTGCTACCTCGGCCCCCAGGGAAACAGGACGGTTCCCAGGGAAAAAAGATGAGCTCGGAGTTAAGGTGGAAGGTGGCTAGATGGCAGCAGAGCCCCGAGACAGCAGCAGTGGTGGCTGTATATCTAGCATCTTCCTGGGGAGACATTACCGAGGGACAGACAACTCAATTGCTGGAGGGAGAAATGACAGGAAGACTGAACTGTCTGCGATTTGATACATTTGGGAACTCTAAAAACAGGAACAAAGAGTTTGTGTTCTGTTCCAGTTTGACATAAATTCCCAGCTCTCCCCAGGTTATTGCTGGCAGCAAAGTTGGAGAAGTTGCATGGTAGCAAAGGAAGGAAACCAAATGAAAAGTCTATTTATATGAGAAATTATGTTTTACTTGTATAAGATGAATAAAATTTAAATATTTCATGGCCTTTTGTGGAAAAGTAGATTAGTGGACTACATCCTTGGACTGACATTCATAGACAGGAAAAACGCAACTTAAACTGCCAGCAACTAAACCCCATGCAGCCACTCGCTCACTGCACCCAGTGGGATGGGGGAGACCATCGGAAAGGTAAAAGTGAGAAAACTTGTGGGTTAAGATGAAAACAGTTTAACAGGTAAAGCAAAAGCTGTGCATGCAAGCAAAGCAAAACAAGGAATTAATTCACCACTTCCCACTGTAGGTCATCCCTAGGAGATGCCATCCCCAGGAGAGCAGGGCTCCATCACATATCATGGGGACTTGGAAGACAAGTGCCATCACTTCAAACATCCCTCCCCTTCCTTCTTCTCCCAGCTTTATATGCCGAGCATGATGTCCTATGGTATGAGATACACCCTGGGTCAGTTGGGGTCAGCTGCCCTGGCTGTGTCTGCTCCTAACTACTTGTATACCCTCAGCTTCCTCACTGGTGGGGCAGGTGTGAGGAGCAGAAAAGGCCTTGACTCTGGGCAAGCACTGCTCAGCAGTAAGGAAACATCCCTGTGTTATCAACACTGTTTCCAGCACAAATCCAAAACACAGTACCACACCAGGTACTTTGAAGAAAATTAACTCTATCCCACTCAAAAGCAGCACACAAACCCTGCCAGAATTCTCTGCATGACTCTGCCACTGTGTCTCTACGGAAACATGGGAAGATCCTGGATCTCTTTATTTCTCAGCTTTCACCAGCTCTTTGTCAAGCACTTTGACATGCTGAGTTACTGGCATTACACAAGTGATGGTAATTGCAATAGACTTTATAGTCTTTAATGAGGTACAATCTGTTCAGCAGTGAAAATGAATCAACCAGATCTAAAATTTCAACTTTAATCATCTGGAGAACCAGGTTAGTCCAGCAAACCAGTTCTGGTTCACTCTTGCTTGTTCATATGGAGAATAAATCACGTGGTAAAAGTCAGTATAAATGAAAAAAATAAAAGAGGACATTTCACATAGTGGTATAAGGAAGACTTCACTTAACATGGTTTTGCAGCAGTGCCTGAGGTCACATGAAGTTTCTACTTGGACATGGCCATAAAATCCCTAAAAATTGTCCAAGAAAAATTGCGCTGAAATTTCCTAAATTCCAAAAGTACTGAATAAATATCTGAGAAAGGAAACCAGATTACATCCTGAGTATGAAACTAAGCGCTTTGTCATCAGCTGCGTACAGATTACACAGGTGTCAACAGGTGATTAAACTTACAGGGGTGGCATAAGCTTTAATGAAGCACTGAGGAACTCTTTAAAAACAGAACTGATTTTTAAGATGTGGATTAAGCTCATATTTTTATGATCCTGTTCATATGCAAGTAGTTATGTTGATGAAGGCATGAAAATGTAAGGGTAAAAGAGAGATGATCTGCAAGGAGAGACATCTTTTATTAGATCAAACAGATAAGTTTTCACGCATAGCAGCTCTTCATTAACTATGTAATTCTTCTTGGTTCTTAAATATTGCAGTGTGGTATGTTCGCGTTACCAGCTGTTTCTCTGTGTATAACCTCAAATCATCTATCTGCATCTCTCCACCTCCCCTGTGTCAGTCACGCCAATGATATGCAAATGGTAGCTAGAAGTGGAGAAAATTTCCTAGTAAACAAACTTGTCTAGCCATGAATATTCACACATGTGCCACTGCCTTTAGTGGAAACACCTTTGTAAAACCACCTTTGCGCTTCTTTAGACACTGTGCATGTTGAGATGCATTTTTAGATGCAGGTGCCAAAGTATTTAAATAAAAAATGCAAAGCTTTTTGCGTATCAACTGACCTTTGGTCAAAAAGCACAGAGAGATGACAGTTCTGGCCAGAAAAACAGAAAAGCCACCCACGAGAACGTGTCTCTGAGCTCTCACAGATCTCAGGTTCATTTAGTATTATGCAGCATTTCTGACAAGTGACAGCTAAAATATTTATGGGATAGAGAATTCTTGTAATACAGCTGGCTAGGAAATGTGTATGGCTACTGATGATCTCATATATGTCTACCAAAACCACCAGAGAATAAAGATCAAGGAGCCTAAAGAATGGACTTAGGTTTAACCACCAGTAACAGACAGGAATCAGACCTGTAGGCACCAGGCTTTGTGCAACACTGCTAGTTACTGGCTTACTGAGAGCAAAATTGCTTTGCTATTTTTTAAACAACTCTGTCTTTTGCCAAACGTTCAACTGTTTAATCTATTAGACCCTGATTTTCTCCTTGTGGAGCTTTAATTACTGAGAGTTTTGTTAAAGATAAGGCTATTAAAGGTAACGTTTAAACTTATTATTTTAATAGACAAAAACATACAGGTTTCCTTATTGGGCATTCCTATTGGGTCTAGCATTTGTATGTCACTGAAAGTAATCAAACAGTATTATTTTAATCAAGGATAGGAAGAGATGATGTAAGAAAAGCACAAGTAGCCAAATCTTGTTTTATGTCAAAAGATTGAGATTTGGCTCAGTATTCCCAAATCAAGTCGGTGGGGATGCATTTGACAATGTTTTCAAACAACCCAGTAAGCTCCGATTTAATATGAATAAAGCCACTGGGATCAAAAGTGATGAAGCAGAAGTTAAATATTTGGAACAGACCTTGATACATTGAGAACAAGTGCCCATTCATTTAAAATTAGTATGAAAACAGTGGGCCCAGTTGTAATTTCATTTGCTTTGGATTAACTCTGGAATAACTCCACAGAGGTCAATGGAATGATACTGGTATTAAATAAAGGACAAGAGATCAGCCTCATGTTGAGCTGTGGTCTGTTTGAAATACTTTTCTACCATTTCATCTGTAAGCTGGATGATCTGTCTTTTTTTGTAAAGGAATTTACAATGTTTTAAAGGCTTTGTGTACCATTAAACAGGAACATAATAAAAAATATTAAACAATGTTAATCTTGTAGGCTGAAGTAATTTTAAGACATTTATGAGGGAAAAAGTACTTTCTCCTTAAAAGAATTTTGACAGTTTAGACAAGGTGTTCCTAGTGTAAAAAGGCTTTTTTTTTTTGTTTTGTTTTGTTTTGAGGGTTTTTTTTTGTTTTGTTCTTATTTTATGTATGTAAAAATAATATTATTTTGCCCTCAGATGACATCCCTATACTTTCATACAGTGATTGCCCTTCTGAAGCCATATTTAAATCAGCTGAACCATGCAAACAAGCAACAACCTTATGCACCTTGCCTAACTGTTCATGGTCACGTTCACAAAAGGATGCTAGAGCAGCTTCATTTTTAACGGAACTTAATGATCACTTTGTACAGACCTGATGGCAGGAAGGGGGTGATTTGTTAAAGTGAGATAAGGCTCCCTGAAGTACTTGCCAAACAGATGGAATTTGTGTTTGTTTGAAATCTTCAGGTTGAGGTAAGTTTATTTGAAGAGTAACGACTGATTTGCCAATTTGCCTTTAACATATAATAGAAACAAAATCAAGGTAGCTGGAGAGAAGAGTGAACTCAAGCCCTCTTGTAAAAAAGCACTCATCATTGCCAGTGATTATTTGTGGTATGAATAATTCACAGATTCACAGGATTTTTGCATTAAAAATAAGTACACTACTTCTCCCCTCTCCAAGATTGTCCTTACTCCTTCCTTTATCCCCTCTGCAGACTGCAGAGATCACTCAAGTGAGCCTGACAATGACATTCCATAAAAGTACCTAAGAGTATTTGGAAAGATGAAGCAGCAGACAAACCTCGGTGCTATTACACAGCTTGGAAATGGGCCACTGATTGCTAAAGAGGGATAAAGCCAACTGTAAAGCCTACCTCACCATCCAAACGTCAGGAAGAAATCACTCTTGTGTTAAGTGGTGTGAAGTTGTTGAGGTGTTTTATGACCAATGAAATCCTCCAGAACTAGAAAATGTAACACACATACAAAAAAATCTCTGGTAGATTCATATTCCAGAGCAATTTTTATCTCTACATAAAAAAAGTATAATACCACTTGGCAACATCATATAGATAATTACTTGGTTCTTAGAGTCGGCCCTTGATTAGCATGTATATAGTCCCTTAACATAAGCAATGAATTTAACTCTTTGTGTAGTTCATTGGCAACAAAAACTATCTGAAATATTCTCAGATGTGGAAAAATACATTTTAAGTGCAACTACAAAATGCCTGTAATGAACAGCAGGACTGGAGATAAGGCTTCAAAATTATATTGCTCAGCTTCATTTCCTTTTCACACCATGCTCACGGAATTTATCATGCACACAGTAACTATATGAGAAATAATTTTTTTAAAACCTTTCTTCTATCACAAACATTTTCATGTATAACTTGTATTACAGAAAAAAAATTGTATTTATGAAGAGTGGTTCTACTATTAAAATCCCTCAAGATTTATGAGAACTCTCATGAGAAACAAATATTGTAGAGGTCTCACCTTTGGTAGGGATTTAGTTTGGAGTGCCAATGAATTTTTGAGAAACAATGCTCTCTGGAAACAAAGATCACACAGTTCTAAGTTTCTTTTTTCCATGCATTGTTTAAAGAAAATATTTGAAAATATGACTTCTCTGAACAAATCAATCACAACTCTTGTCTAGTCAACTAAAATCCCCTTACCTGTAACCTCTCTTTTAATCAATAAACAAAAGGAAATAACAGTTTGTTTGAATGCCACTGAACTATAAGGTTTATTTTCCAAGCAAACGTTTTGCTGCAAGTGAAATGCATGTGTCAGAGCTCTGCTCCTTTAAAAACAATTTACCAATTTCCTTCTTTCTGTCCGTAAGTTGAATAACATTTATTGCATTAGGTAGGGCAATCCGTAAATGAAAGAGGAGCAATTGCTCCTCTGATTGCAAGTCACGTAACCATTACTGCCACTCTTTCTGACTGAGCTCAGTCCTGTGATTACACTTACTATAAATGCACCAAGGATCCCACTGATTCAGGGTCATATTCAGCACCCACTTTTCTTCCATGAGATAAGGGGGTGTAAGATTTTTACCTGGAAGAGCAAGGGACATTTATGTGTCAAGACTCAACCTGAAGACATTTGTGTCGGTCACTTCAGTGCAAAGGGGAGAAAAAGGCTAAATAAAAGTTGGGTTCTCAATTGCATCCCTGATCCAATCTAATTGCGTTGACCTTAATAGACACATACATGTTTACTCCATCTGAGGCTCCATCTTGTAATTTATAAGCAGAAACGAAATTGTCCCAACAGCCTTTTATTCAAAATTGTAGATTGTGCAACTCAGTTCTGCAAACATGCTAATGAACTACACAATCCCCGAAGAATACGTTTATGAATCCACTGCCTTTGCTAAAAAGTGACTAATTTTTCATCCACTGTAAACTGACCAGATGTTTTGGTCCAGCTGCGCAGCCCCTCAATTTAGAAACAGGCTGCCATCAGCCTTTTGATCATTTCCCTGAGAAAACCATCTGCTCTCTGTTTTCCCCTTCTTCTGCTCTTTGTCTCCACAGGCTTCCCTGAAGGCTTCCCTCAGCACAGTGTTATGTTGAGCCTTGAGTCTTAGGAGGATATAAGGTAATTTCATCTGCTTTCAAAAACTGGTAAGGCAGGATCTGTTTTCCCTGATGTAACTTCATAAAAGCCAGAGGGATGTCTTCCAAAAGAGCCATGCAGACATGTGTTTTCTATCCTGCTTTTCCTCCTTATATCCCTCAGATTTTTGCAAACATCTATGCCCACAGGATTCCCAGAGACATAAAACTGCAACTGGCACATTATGGTGTCCACTGAACAAAACACCATCAAAGGAGACACCCCAACATTGCCCATTAATGAAATCAGAATCAATTGAGTTGCTGGAGCTGAAATCACTCTGATTTTGTCTCTCCAGAGGCTGATGGCTATAGCAACACAGTCTTGAGGAGTCCCCTCTTGTCAGAATTTGTTTCATCCTCATCTAAAAAAGTCTCAATGAGCTTACAAGCCAAATTTCAGCGAGTAAAGTGCAAGGTCCACTCAGCACCCAAAGGGTAACTAAATGGATGAGAGTTGAGAAATCATTTAGCAGTTTAGTTTTGGCAATATCTGAAGTACAGTTGCTTGTTTGTGTTACACAGCAGCTTCTGTATTTCAGTAAGTAATCTGGATGCTTTTAAGGGGTACAAGGGATATATATATGTATGTATATAATATTGGTAAAGAAAACTCACATAACAGTTGTCCAAAGTGTTCACACAAACCCTCTCCCTGCTATTTGTAAAGATCTCCACTGTGTCCATCATTCCTACTGTGATCCGTGGAACAGATAAATGAGTATTTTTTATTATAACAGAAAGGAGGAAAGCAAGCTAACTGCTGAAATTCCTGAGCAAGCTTCTGGGACAATGGTTAGGGAATGCTGTTAGTCAGGCCATCCTGATCTTCGCAAGGAGCCTTGTACAAGTTTATAGGGGGACTTCTACAGCAAGATCCTGATCCCACCAGCAGCAATGGGAATTTTTTCACTAACTCCAGAGAAAGCCACTGTGACAAGAGGGTTTGTGAAAATTAGATGCCTTCAGGAAAGCTCCTTCTCATGTACCCCACTAGCAAGTCATAGTGCCTTGACTTAAGAAGTCTCTTTTCAAATCAGAGGCATAAAAAGCATCATCAAACTTTACCAAATCAGTCATCTGACCAAAATACAAAATACAAAGAAGAAAAGCCATAAAACTCAACTGAAAGTCCAAAAATCTCTCTATCAAAAGTTCCAGCTTCTGCCTTCTGCATATTTCCTGGTTTCTTTTTAACCTCCCTCCCATCCGCCTCATCCTTGAAAACTGTCATCAGCCTTTTGGTTTAATGCTTTTGTTGACAATGCTACACCCATATTGATTGTTGCTTTTAATTAGCATGGAGTACACAGGGAGGAATGAAATTAGTTTGTTCGGTTTCATTACACTCCCTGCATTATGTGATCCAAGTGTCAATAAATTATCATTCTTTCATTAAACAACAACAACAATTCTCTTTATTATCTAAATTACAAAAGGCTGCCTCACTTGGTTGCAAAAGACAACTTGCACATTAACAAAGGGATGTAACAACAATCTCTCAGCAAGGTTGAATAGGGAATTGTTAATCATCTCATAAAGCATTACTTTTGGCATATTTTATTTCAATCTTAGAATGAGCTATTCACATTTGACCTCCTCAGCAACATAAGCTTAAAAAAATAATGCCATGTGACAGAGCAATCCATTTGTAAAAAGCTTATTAAAATCATGTAGGTATATACTAATTAAAAGTTACATGGAGTCACTGTCTGTGACTGCCTTAGATGAATTTGAAACAAAACAACTCAATATACCACTGTGCTTTAGGAATATTTTTGCCTGCTGAAATGATGCCCAGATTCAACTTCTGGCAAACACAATAGTCCCATCATTAACTCCAGCATTCCAGTATGAACTGAGAAACAGCTAGAAAATAGCAGCCAGTAATTCCTTCCCCAAGGGCTTGCTCCCACCAAAATGCTAGGTGAGTTCTGGGGGAGCCAAACTATCTTGAAAGAGTAGGATTCATACCTGTGAGTCGGTGTTGATCAGTGCCTTGGAACAGGGCACTGGCTCAGCGCTTGCAAAGGGCTTTGAACCGAGGAGGCAGAAGAGGAGGATCAAAAAAAGAATGGCTGGGAAGCATAAGCAAGTCTCTGAGAGAGAACCCATCAGAACTGGGTCTAGCTGAACACGTGTCAATAGTAACTAAAGCCACTAGATGGTTTCCTCTCTGAAGGCACAGTGTTGAATATTTTTAGACAGTGATGCGGAACCAGTTACGTTCATTTTGAACCACGACACTACCATTGAAAGCTACCTGTGAAACAATCCTGCAGATAAGACTTCTGGGATTTTTTCATCAGAAAACACAACCTCTTTGACACACAAAATCTGCAGCCAAAGTGATACTGTATGTATCTTCTGGGGGGCAGTATACATGACTTCCCTGTTTCCTAAGATTCAGAGTACTGTGGTGCCAGTTCATAGAAGAAAAAAAACTCTTTACTAGCTGAACAGTTTCTCATATCATTCTTTTCATTATTAGCTCAAGTTTTCTTTAGACAATGGTTCAAAGGTCAATACACTTTTCAAAATTAAATGTACATATTACTTTCTGCTATATAACAAACCAAAGGTCAACTTACATTCTCGTATTTATATTACTTGGGAAAACATCTCTATTTCCAGTATCAGTATTAAAATAATATACTTCTAAATGAGTTTACATATTCTCTTTCTTTAAAGAACTGTGTTAAATTAATTGCTTCATGTAAACAACATTTTGAAAATTAATTATAAATAAGATGGAAGAGAAATAAAATTAACCAGCTCATTGGGAGTGGAATTGTCCCTGGAATAGGGCTTTAAGAAATCAAAAGTGACACAATAATTAATAATGCCTGTTATAAATGAGTTTCCATTTTCTCAGTTACATATGATTAATCAACATAATTGCAAGCTGTACTCTGAGTAATGTGTAAGTTTAATTTGTATGGGCTTGGTGATGAAGTAAGTCAAATGAGTCTTTCACCTTTGTTCAAAGCCTTTGTTTCAGACGCAGGTTTAAATATGATTGTCTCATCCTATTCTCTCTTGGGGCACATCAAAAAAACACCAACAAACCTGGAAAAGTACCTACTCAGGAGACGTACTCAGTGATAGAGATGTGTCAGGGGAAGCTGTGCATGGGGAAGACTGTAAAATACCAGGTAGGGCTGCTGATGACAGTCAATTGTTGTTCTAATATGTACAAGTCAAAAATAAAAACTGTTTCAGAATAAAACCATAACAAGAGAATGAATACTGGTTTGGTTGGTTGGTTTTTTAACCCATCATCAAGTAGAATACTCAGAAGTCAATCTATCTGTGAAGGTATTACCCTGCAGTGGAGTAGAATTATACATCCTGAAGAAGACAAACATAGAATCATAGAATAGTTAGGGTTGGAAAGGACCTTAAGCTCATCTAGTGCCAACATCACCAGTTAGAATTATTCCAGAAACACACCTAGGGAATCGCACAGGTTGTTACAGCCATTCAGGAGTCGTAAGGCATTTCTTACAGTTTCACCAAAAATTGAAATCTATACGGAAGACAACATTATACCTCTAATTCCATTTGGAAATGTAGTATTCAAAAGATACTCTGGAAAGAGTCCATTCTGTTTCAGATACTGCAGAAATTGTGGTTTTGTCCATCAAAGGACTATATAAATGCTCTAACTAGAAGACAAATGTTTATTTTATAAGTATCAACATCCAAAATTTAATGCAGATACTTATCACTCATCTAGAGCTGTAGCTTTCAAAAATTAACATATATTAGTGAATAGTGAATTCATCTTCAAAGGCTGCCTCATAGTACTGGATGAACCTCCCTTCCACTCTGCATTGATATATTTAAAAGTAAACTACATTCAGTATGGCTAATTTTCTTCAGGGAAAAAAACTACTTTGGCAAGAACCAGGAGTGAAAGATCTCACAATGCTCTCCCTTCTGAGTGCTTGCTATGGAGTCCATTGGTGGCACTGGCACCAAAGGCAGGAAAGCACATGCATATGTATGTGCACACATTTCAAGTTGGAAGCAACTTGAAAGAAAAATAAGAAGCCTACACGGAAAAATATTAGGAGGGAAAAAATTCAAAGCCAATGTTTTCTGCCAAAGCTAAGAAGGTGCTTCTGTTCCACCAGGCTACTGTGCTACTGTTCTTAAACTCCAGGCACTCTGGCTGGAGCAAGCAGCCCATGACACTCAGTACCTTCCTTCCATGGAGCAAGAGAGTGAGAATGTGCAGCAGATGAAGGACAGCTGTTGTCAGGCAGCACAGCAGCACTTCCAAGATGCAACGCTGACTGAAGTTTCATTACCATTTTACTTTTCTGCAGAAAATCTGTTTTTTGGGGGGAACACTGAAGGAAAAACAGCAGAAACAAACCCCAGAGCAGAAATATTTCAGGAAAACAATCTGCTGGACAATAGCTTCCTACATTAAAGCTGTTATTTTTCAATCACTCCAACTATATATGGTGGTGAGTGAGTTTTTAATGCTCATCCAGCTAGGTAGTCTTAAGTCAGGAGCTGCATTATCAGAAAGGAAGGTAGTAAAGGCCCATACCGCAGCGTGGACACGTAACATAATTCATAAACTGTGATGATCCAAAGCAACAGAGTAAGTCCCACAGTGTCATCCTTAGAAAATAAGAGCTATCTCTCATCTCAAAACTTTATTAGGTTTACAATACCTCAACATACACCAGCCACCCATTTACAAAAAGACAACCAGCTCCCTACAGCTTAAGATAAATTCAACTAAGAAAAAAAAATATTCTTTTTCATGTTCAGGCATAAAATCTGATAAAAGTTCAAGCTTCACAGATTTATAATGGGTTGAGAAAACACCTGTAGAGCAGCCATGCTGTTCATATCCAAAGGAAGAAAGTTAACTACTGAAATACAGTCAGCAACTTGACTACATTAAAGCACTACCAGATCTGTTGTAATTAATTTTTCTTGTCATTTAATAAGGAAAACAAAGCTGTATTAAAATAAGTTTCATCAAAGTTCATTAATTAAAATGCTGTGCATTCTAAACAGTCTGTGGTTTGAGATCTTTCTGTAATAAATAACAAGGAATGTGCTTGCACTTACGGTGTTTGGGCCAGCATAATTGCTATAAAAATAATTACCAGCAATTTTCCTCTTGCATTAGATCAGTTGATGAAAAGGAATAACAAAACCCTTTTCTTCTCTTTGTAGTTCAACACACGCAAAATAATACCACTGAAATTCAAATCAAATGGGCAGATACAACTTCTATGAGAGGATCAACTGATAATACAAGATATTTTTTAAATAGCTGTAGTAAGTGTTTGTGGTAGATTGAAGTCCAGTGGGACTGGAAAGGTATATAAATGTTTATTTCTAGCTCCTGTCTGCATTCTGATTTTATAGGGATTTCAGATGAGATTGAGCAGAGAGAAACATTTGTCCTAGGTAATTCCTTCTTCAGACTGGTGAAGTACAGATTCACGTTGCTGCAATTTGATGCCTGCCTAGTCCCAAGAGGAAAAAAAATTCACATTAAACTCCAGACCAACTGGCTGGCAAGTTCTTGCGCCATCTGCATGAAACTTAGCAAGGAAAAAACTAATGTTTGTCCAAATACTACTACTTGGCAGGGAGTTGGAGGTGGATGGTTGTAGGGGGAGGAGGTATTCTGGTAGTGAGAACTACCTGGAGTCCAAATACTAGAAACTTTCCAAGCTGGCACATTATTAGAAACCAAATAACCTTTTGGAAAGAACCTTCATGGATCCCATTACACTTATTGCTCCTGCTCTGAATCAGTAGTGCTCAGCAGTCAGAGCATCCAGCTTCCTAGGGAGCTGCTTGGCAGAGGAAATACCTGTTTTGAGGTATTATTACAAAAATCTGTGATGTCTTGAAAGGGAAACACTTCTTCAGAAAACATTTTTGTATGCAAAGGCTTAAAATTGGCATTTTAGAACCCACAATTGTCTTTGAGGATCTCCGAGTACCAGTGGGAATCAATAAGGCTCTTCTAATGGGGAGTGGATCCTGAACTGAAGCCAGCTTGGACAGATGAAAAGTTTTGAGGTGATTTCAGCAAATACTATATCAGACTTAGAGGGTTCAAACACTAATTCCTCACAGATGGGAAGAAGCAAGATGAATAGAGTTTCAAGCAGTTGTCCAAGGAGTGCAACCATCTGGAAGCTGGGAAATGGAGACTGTTTTTCCTATGTTTTAGTTACATGGGCACAAGTAGCAGAGAAAGCATCAATAGCTCTCCTGGAAGTTATGCCAGTGCAGCACACAGGATCTCACCTGATGTGGCTTTAGATGTGCTATTTTAGAGATTGCTGGAGCCATCCAGGATTCAGATTTGCTTGGGATCCCCAGCTGCTCACCACCATGGCATACACAGTCACTAGGTCGTCACTCTGTTGGTACCAGCTGACATGGGCAACGACTAAGGGCAATAAAAGAAAGCAGGTGATAGCTGCTGGTATTTCCAATCTACCCCACAGGCTGATTGTATTAGCCCATGTTTGCACAGGAAATCAGCAACCACTTTAGTTGTCTCCTCCCAGATAAAGTGCAACATTTAGAAATGTCATTACTGAGAATAAGCTATAACAGTGTCAGGGCACCTGAGTCCTTGTGTAAAGTATTTCCCTACTGCAGAGGAAAATATCGGCTTTATAAAAGTTGCTGATTATTCAAAACCTCTCCCCTTGTCAGATCTGCAGCCAGGAGTGTATCTGAGCCATTTTGCTCCAGGGAAAGAACAGATTTTTATAGAAATGTTCTTCCTCATCCAAAATACTGAAAGGGAAAAAAAAAAACCAAACCCAAAACCAACAGATGGAAAGGTACAAATATTGGATAATTAGGAGTCACAGGGCAAGAGTAAGCCAAAACAATTTCTCCTATTTCTATCAAGTGGATAATATCCACATGTAACAAAGGAAGTAAAACAAAAGAAACAGAAAGTCATTTCAAGTAATAGCCTAAAAAGAAAAAATGTATCTATTATATCACATGCGACTCATAAGGAGCCGCGATGATATACGTGAAAAATGAACAAAATCTTGAATCTCATGTTAAATATAACTTCTAGACACAGGTGCGAAGCTTTCAGAACTGTAACCTATATTTGTTTAGTTGACCTTGAAATTCAGAAATGGAGCGTTTGAAAGACAAGAGCAGATACTTTTCTGTATCTTTTTCTTTCCTCATTATTCAGAAGATGTAATGAGGACCCAGACTTTAAAGTAAGTGAGCATCTAGTTTCACTTAGAATTTTACTTTTACATTTGGGCATTGAGCTTCAGAATAATCCTTTTTTTTTTTTCTTTGAGAAGTGAAAATGATCCAGAGGGGGATTTGAAAACACTGCCTGTTCTTTTCAATTCCACAGTTATCTGCAGATGTAGACTAGGTCACTTGGAAGTGATTTACAGGTGCAATTATGGCACTCAAGGAGCTGGACTGCATTCTTAAAATGCTGCCAGCACAGAACAGCAAGCCCAGTTAAAAGCAGATTCCAATTCTGGCCCTTCTCCTTAGATTCTTGCACTGTTTTTACATATAATTTCAAATGCATTCTTCATTAGCCACTTAGCACATAAAGGATTCGAGGTCGGAAAAGCTGGGCTAGTCTGCACCAGAGGATTGCAGACTCTCAGCTGGCATAGAAAAAAAGGAAATTATGCCCGTGCACACCTAAAGATTAACAACAAACTAAATCTCCTCAAATACCTTTAGCCTTTGAGGAGTGGCAGGTCACAATCTCCTCTCAGCAGCTAGCTCTGTCATTACTGTAAACCACACAGCATCCTAACTCTAATCCCTCAGAATCTGGGAATTATTCGCACTGTTGTCTTTTTCAAACTGTTTTCATATCAAAGTGAAGCTAATGCAGTCACTCTGCATGTATGAACTTCCACGTGTTCATATGTGTCTGCCTCCTAGATACCTTTGAAGCTCTTAACTAGTATTTAACCAATTTTGACAAGAATTTGGAAGGCAAAAAGATCATTTCTCCTGATTTTGTGCAAACAGGCTGCCCAGCAGAGTCTTCAGCAATACTATCACTGGAGGAAAAATTGTACAGAGGCACCAGATAAAGCACAGACCAGTTCTCCCAGGGCCCACTAGTCCTTATGTCCAGTGGTACAGGCCTCAAACCACGTTATACTTTTCTTATGAATTCCTTTTACTCGTTCAGAATTTGTAATGATAAAGCACAGCCAACACCACTCCGGAGCACGGGCAGAAAACCCAGAACAAAATCAGTCAGTGCCTGTCTGCACAAATCATACATTAGCACTATTCATTTGGAGATATCTCCAGATAAGGAGAAATTCTTATTAGTGAATGTCTTAATTATTTTTATTTTCTTTTTAAGCATGCTCACATTTCTCAATATATGGGAAAAAAAAAAAACAAAACAAAACAAAACCAAACAGTTAAAATCCACTCAAGGAACCTAAAAATTATCACTGCTTCCAAAGTTCTACTCAGCCAGAATTGCTGTGGACTGCAAAGACAAGAGACATTAATAACAATTACTGCTCAATTAGTTGCTCTCAAATCTGGTCACCAGGGTGTTTGTTGCTGGAGACAAAAATGTACACTTCTTTTCCACTGTGTGTTTGACCTATCCACTTGACATCTACATTCATTTGTACCTTAATTTATTCATGTGTCTTCTTTTTTGGTGGGAAGGATAGGCAGGATAGGAGTTGCTTTTATTCAATGTAAAATTTTGCCTGCTTTCTTTAGAGCAAGAAGGCTCAGATATACTGTGGATAATTCACCAAGAAACTCCAAAGAAACCCTTTGTCATTAAAGATTTAGCTGCAGAAAGGTGTTTTCAAAGAAGTCTATTGGTTAATATCTTCTCTTTTGTGTGAGTAACACTGCAAAGCCCTTAATGTTTCTTTGCATCTAAAGGTATTACTCACGGTGACAAAAGCTTTATTTTCACCAAGGGCCTAAGCCAAGTAAGATGTGGTCACGCTTAAGTAGAGCAAATCACTACCTTCCAAAAAATGCAAAAATGAGACAGGAAATGAGGGGAAAACAACAGGCAGACTTTTAAAAATTAATATGCATGTAGTTTTTAATGCTGTGACGGTCACCCTTGTATCTGAGCATCTTGCGTAGTCCATAGAGGAATAAAACTGCATATAATTGTGTTGTGTGTCTCTTCTCCCCCTAGACTGAAAGAGGTATGTATGATCTGAGGGGCATTAAGGTTTGGGCTTGACTTTTTAAAATATACTCCTTTTCTATAACTTAATGTCTGTGAAACTAAGACAGAGCTGCCTCACCCTTAGAGCAAAATACCGAGATTTGTGATGTTTCTTGAGGTCTCAACCCATTGCAGTTTATGAAAATCTCTCTCTGACACAAAGAGGGGAGTATTTTTGTGTAAAAAATGTGCTTTGCCCAATCTCAGATATTTTGAGCAAGGCAATACTTTGCAGATAGAAGCCAATGCAGGTATTCTTGGTAATCCCACAGGTGCCTCTCTGTCAAGTTCAGTGTTACGTGGAGCCTCTCAGTAGCTTTCTCCTGAAAAGACATCACTCTGCCCTACCCATGTGCAAACTGTCAAAGACCTGAGCAACAGCAGCAAAATCATCAGCTGAGAGGATGAGAAAGTGTCATCAGTGTGATTGGAAGTTGAATACATATTCAACCCCTGAATATTTATTTAACAGCTTCAAAATGGTTAAAATATGAGGCATAGGCAAGAAAGTGTGTTTTCAGTGTTCATTTCTCCTACTCTAAGTGCAGCCTGTTGCCACACAGCACCTGATTATCTCTCAGTTTGTGTCCAGAGGGTGGATTTGGAAGAAGCTAAGTAAAATAGTCCTTTCAGTTATACTAAAATAAACAAAAGACAAGGACAAGGTTCCAGAGCAATGAAATCTCAATTATCTGCTGCTCCTAAATACTTCCTGCTAGAACAATTTGTAAGTTGACAAACTTAATTAGCTTCTTTACCAATATTTTCCAGATGTTCAGATTTTCATTAGACTACTTAAAACAGATGTTTCCCACATTTAATCGTATGACTGTGGCAAATTTTGAGTCACCAACAGACTAACAGACTATGAAAACTAAGTTCATCCAAGCAGTTAATGCACAGACCAGTGCAATATATCAATGAGCTAACCTCCAGAAAATGTAATTGTGAACTGCGATGAAGTCATACATATGTGACTATGGAAACAAATAGTAGCTGAACAGTAAAAGAAGTAAAGGTTTGAAAGTTCAGATTTGTATAAACGGTGTCAGTGGCAAAAGCTCAGGGATTCTAACGCTGTCAGCTTTATAAAAAAAAAAAATAAAAATCACAGCCTTACAATGGATCTTTGGAGAGCAATAAAATATTTCCTTCTGAGACACTGAACACTTGAGGCAATAAATAAAATAAATAAAACCTTATCCCTGTGATGGTTGATGATGGGAGAGAGATTTGACACCCAAGTTAGAAAGAGAGAGAGTGCAGGTGCTGTTTTCTTCTTTTAATAAACACATTATATCCAAAGGGGAAGTATCTCATTTTTTTTTTAAGGCAATGGAAGTAGAGGTGTCAGACAAGTCATGGCTATTTCCATATAACAACAAAATGGCACGAGCAGTTGCAAAAATAATTGCCGGCATGAATTTCAACTTCCTTCCATTAAATGTTTCACTAATTAACTTAATAATCAATGGCAGGGAAAGATTAATCCACCACTATTTGCATTTCTGACAAACATCAGAAAATCAAAAACCAATAAAGTTTCTATTTCTACCTCACAGCTTTAAGTCACATTGCATGGGGAGAATTCCCAAATTAAAAAGAGCAGGAATGTAAATCACAAGTCTCCACACATCAACAGGAATTTAATGTTTTCTTTTTCATCCATTGAACTGCATCATGAATCCCCCTACCTTTCTTTCCCAGCTTACTGCTTTCAGCTCAAGCACAGACTCATACCCCAGGCTTGTGCTGATCAAGATGCTTCATGTAATGAGACACATGAAATACACTTAGAGTGAACATAGAAATCCAAACTGACTGCACACAAATTAGTGCCTGGGCTAGAATTTTTAAAGACACTTGAAAAGACTTTTTTGGAAGATAGCACAAACCCAGGAGAGCCAGAGCCATGTGGATACAAGTGAGAAATGAAGGCAGACTATACCAGCTGGGGTCATCTCCATCATATCCCTATGAAGCCTATGGATCCTTTCTTCCTCTCTGCTTTTTTCTGTGCTGCACAAGCAAAGTTCTGTTGTGTTCCCTCAAACCTACACAACAGAAGATGAAAATGCTAATAGCACATCAGGCTTTTTGAATTCTTGTGAAGTTACAGCCTTACAAAGGTGATAGTGAAAACATTATTGCAGGGTGTGGTGCTACATTTTACCCCGGGAATTGGAGGGAGGGAAAGGAAGAGAAACACA